GTCTTACATGTTAGGAGGCACATCTATCAATTTTCTTTTAAAAGAAAAGAATATTAAATAACTGAATTAACTTCTAGCGCAAAATTTGTGAACTTTTTTTTAAAAGAAGTGTTTTTATTTATTTATTCCTTTAATTTACTTATCGCACAAGTAATGGGTCACAATCTCATTTCTCAAGCTTACTTTCTATTTCTAGAATCTCAGGCTACTCCCCCACACCCCAAAAAGGACAAAGTTTTGGTAAATTTGAAGTAAAATAAATAGATTTAGAAGATTTATTCATTATTTTAGGAGCCAAATAAAAATTTAGAAGCTTGACTTGCTCAAGCATTGAGCCCAACCCTCTACATCATATTCCATCAAATGGTAATTCCGTACAACAATACCCGTACTGTTTGATTGAAACCGCTTTGTTCTGAGATTTCCAGGACCAAGCGACACTATCAGCGACGAAACTACAAATAGAAGGTTATACCTTTTCCCTCAAGGTTTAGTGTTAAAAAAGTTAATTGAACTTGATGTTTATCTATCAACATCATTTAAGGTGAGGTAATTTTGGAAAAAAATTATTAATGTAAGACAAGTTTAATTATTTAACTGTCATTCCTTTAAAATGTTGCTCATTAAAAAAAAGCTAGACTAGTCCAAAAAAATTGCAACTACTCCCTTTGCCCTTCTTTATAAGCAACAACTACCATTCTTCAATTATCTCTAAATATAAGCAATATTTGCAAGTTGTGTTAAGTTTTTGTAGCAAGTTTTCTATTTTACCCCTATTAAAGATTTATTTTAATAGTTAATATATTTATTTTTGGAAAAATGACACTTCAATTTAAAAATTCTCATTTGGTCACCTAAATAATGAAAATCCCCATTTGAGCACACATGACCAAATTAGAAATTAGAAATTTGTTGAAAAGACCAACTTGCCTTTTAATTTTTTTTAAAAAAAACCATCAAGCACGCTCATTGATCGGCGGTTGCCGAAGCTCCGATGCTAGCATTCAGGTGGGGTGTCAGTCACATGACCTCTGGTGGCTGACAGATGACCAGTCACTAGAGCAACTATTTTTTCAGGATTTTTTTAAATCCCGTAATGTAATTGACAAAGTTTTTTTAGTGTGATTAACAAGTCCATTATAGCATTTACTAACAACAGGTTTTTCAAAAAATTCAAAATTTACCATTTTTACAACTTATAAGTAACACGAGTAACAAGTTCTTTAATACTATTAACAAGTTCAGTAAAGTAGCTAACAATAGGTTTTTCAGGAAATTTAAACATTGGCATTTTTACCAATTCATTAATGCGGTTAACAAGTCATGTAACAATATTAATAATTCTTATAGTGCCATTAACATAATTATAAAGATTAATGTTTTTAATATTAGTTCCCTATAAAGATTGTACAACAAAAATTTTTCATTTATTAGGCAATCACTATAGTTATGAGAGTTGTTCATTACATGATTTGTTGTCAGAGTTGTTATAATATCGTTACATGCCTTATTAACCGCATTACTCAAGTTATAAATACGTTACATTTTGAATTTTCTAAAAAATTTGTTGTTAATTGTTATACTAAACTTGTTAATAGTGTTAAAGAACTTGTTACTCGTGTTACTAAAGTTATAAAAAATACTAATTTTTAAATTTTCTAAAAAAATCTACTGTTAAATTCTATAGTGAATTTGTTAATCGCATCAAAAAACTTGTTAATCGTATTATTGGACTTGAAAAAATTGTCATCAGCCGGCTACTAGAGCTCAAGCAATCAATTACCTTTCTAAACTCTAACGGCCGCAGGCGTTAGAGCTTAGATAACCAGCCGGTGAGGGTGCTTGATGTTTTTTCTTAAAAGGACAATTTGGCCTTTTCTTCAAATTTTAAAATCTCAATTTGGTCGTGTGCTCAAAATGGGATTTTCATTATTTAGGTGACCAAATGGGATTTCCAAATTTAAGTGTCATTTTCTTCTTATTTTTTTGTTTCCCAAAACATTATTTCTTAGATAATAAATGTTTTGAAGATTATATTTTAATACTACCTCCGATCCTAAATATAAAGCTAGTTGACTAATTTGAGTAGATTAAGAAAATAAGTTAAGCTAGTTATTTGTAATAAATAAGTATTGTCTTTCCTAAAATATCCTTGTCAATCAGGTATATTGCCTAGAACTACCGTTATTAGAAGAACTACCTTGAAAAAATACATAAATATAAGAGACAAAATGGATTGGGATCCTATATTTAAAATCAAAATAAAAATTAAACAATGTCTTATATTAAATACTGGAGGTAGCATAATCACTCTCCATTACATATTCTTTCTCTTAAATAATTCTCTTTATTATAATAGTTTTTTTTTATACTCCCTCATAAATTAAGGCATTTTGAAGGAAAAAAACTTCTAATTTTTATGTATTTATTGTTTTTAATTAATTTTAACTGACTTTTTTATATGATATGTGAGGTCTGGTTCAAGATTGTTTTTGAAAAGGGACGGAAGGAGTAACAATAAAAATAGGTTCATGTGATGAACTCAATTAATTTGGATTTTTTATTGATACCGAAGAAGATGAACGGTAGCTTCGTAGGATTTGCGTTTCGGTCAGCATTGGCCGACTCTTCCTGTTTCTTTCTCCCCTGTTTTCCGGGGAAAATCCCCTAATCTGCCCCTCATTCCAGTTTAATTAAATACGTCGTAGACGACAAAAAAGCAAGACGTCTTGAATAAATTAAAATTTGACCAAGGGGACATATCATATATGACGCAGAAAACGTGTGCATGGGGAGGCCGAGAATGTCTTTGGCAACATGTGGATATATATTAAGAAAAAAATTAATCTGCATAAGCTCTTATTTAAAATTTAATAATTTTTTTAACTTTATTTCTATTTAATATATATTATATCTCATATAAACAAAATCAACACAATAATAAAAAAAAAGATAAAATTGTACATCTATATGAAAATTTCTTTCAGTACTCTATAAATAAGATCAAAAAATACATTCTCTATTTATCCTATAAATAGGACTCAGTACATCACGTCTATCAAAAAGTTAGCTAAATTGGTTAAAGACAATAAATGTATAAAAATTGCAAGTTTTTTTGGCTCCAAAATACTCTTATTAATGGAAGAGAGAGTATAAGAAAGAGAATAAGAAAATTATTATAACAAAGAGAAGTATAAAAGAGAGAGAATGTGTGTTTTAGAGAGATTATCTTACAATTTAACCTTCTGAATATTATTATCTACAAAATGATGTTTTGGGAAAAAATGAATATATTAATTATTAAAAAAAGTCTTTAACAGATGTAAAATAAGAGGATTGCTACAAAAATTTAAGACAATTTGTAAATGTTACTTATATTCAGAGATAATTAGAGATGGTGATTGTTGCTTATAATAAGAGATAAAGGGAATAACTTTTTAACTTTATCATTATTTAATATATATATATATATATATATATATGTTACTTATATCCCTTAAGAACAAAATCATACGAAAAATTTTCTTTCTCTACTTATCAAAATATTTCTTCTCTTTCTACCATATAAATATAGGAGGATCAAATTATATATTTATATAAAAAGTACTAACATTTAGTATTTGATAGTATCTTGAACATGATTCTTTTTAATAGGACGTGCTACCTAGCAAAAAAAAAAACGAATAGATGGTTAAATTATTAACGTAATTTTTATGAAATTAAAACAGTTCTAGAAAGTGGTAAATAAGAATATTTACAAAAAAATAATTAGTATTTCATTTTTTATGTAAAACGACTCCCTGCAGTGCTTTTTTAAAGAAATTCAAATTTTTGAATTGAATAAGTAATAGGTATAGGTGTATATTTAAATATGCACTTATTTATTAAAGGATGGGAGAGAAATAATGAGAAAAAAGAAAAAATAAGAAAAAAAATTAAAAAAGAAGAAGTTAGAAATTACTAAATCCTAAATTAGATTTGCTAATAATACTTTCTTTGGTGTTGGCACTACTAAATTTGTAAATAAAAACAAATTTTTGTTGACATTCTTTATTTAACATTTAGTAATTTTCAGCTTCTTTTTTTTTTTTTTAAGTAAGAATGTACGAAAAAAAATATAACATGAGACAAGATGGAGCACAATTCCCCTTGTGGGGACATTTCAACTGACCCCTTATCTTCCGCAAGCAAATTGTTCAAATTTCTTCGTCCTACTTCCACAAAACATTTTTCCAAGTCAATGATGATATTTTTTTTTCGGGTCTTTCGGTCAACGTATCTAATCCAATGCTGAAATTTAGTATCCTTATGTCCACGTGATAGAAGGAATTATTTATCGTATATTTGAAGCATTAATAATTTTGAAATTAGTAGCCCTGCATTTGGCTAATCCATTATTAATTCTATTTAATTTAAACTTAGATGAATAAATAATTTTCTTAAAATTTGAAAAGCAAAATATTTTACCTTAGAAAATAATGATATTTTGCGGAATAGTATTCCATGCCCGTTAGATGTTCTACCTATAGTACTTGATATTAGATCCCTACTTAGTTGATTTTCTTCTTCTTCTTGGTTTTTTTCTTGTTGGTTATATCTTGTTAATGTAAGAGCATCAGCGGATCAATAAAAAAAAAAACCAAAAAGAGTGTGTGGTATGAACAAAATAATATCATTATATTCTCTCTGCATCTAATCGAATTTCTCTTCCATCGAATAAAATTTGGAACGAACTCACAGGGCCCGTTTGGCTGGCTGGGTTTGGCTGGAAGTAGGAATATATAGCCTCACATTCTCTTCTGAAACATGGCTTTGGGGAAATAATATAAAACGTTGCTATGACTTGGGCAAATCACTTGATGAAACCGTCCAAGCACGAGATTCTTGTGTTGGTCCTGTTAGATATGAAGCAAGAGATTATAAGAAGATCAAAACCTTTAATTTTCACTAGATCCATGACCTGAAGATAAATGGCTCGAGAAAAAGACGATAACCTTTTTTTATCGGGGGAAAAGTTCAGTCCTAGACATTTCATTCAAAGAGAACGGATTTGGATTCGCAGAAGATTGATCCAAAAGTGATTCTGTTGCAGTATTTTCACTTGGATTTTGTCTGCTACGCATGAAGAATGCTGGTTCTCTTGGAGGTGGCAATTCAATGGAAGGATTACCGAGATATGAAACAGTTTGAGACATTGTTGGCCTATCTTCTGGATTTTCTTGAACACACAATAACCCAATTTGCACACATCTTTTTACTTCAGCCTGAGAGCAAGATTCCATTAGACATGAGTCCAATACTTGTAATGGCGTTCCCTCATTCCATTGCTTCCAAGCCTGCATTTATTTGTCAAATAATTAGATAATCAACGCCATGGTCGTCTTCAATTTTAATTTTATCACTCATATTTCTGTATTAGATAGATATGAAAATATCATCAGGCAGAAACAAAAACTAAACTGGATTTAATACTCACATGAGTCAAGAGGTGTGATTCAGAAGATCTAGCATTCCTTTTGCCACTAATTATCTCTAAGATTATAACTCCAAAACTAAATATATCTGATTTCTCTGAAAATTGTCCGTACATTAAATATTCTGGAACATATAGCCATGAAGAAAAAATATTAGTATAATATAACAGATGTGTAAAAAACACATAAAAATATTGTGGATAAACATATGAAACAAGTAGTGATGAGGGTAAAGCTTACTATGTTCCAACAATTCTGTTTATATTTTCTTGATCTTGGTCTATTGTGGACCATTTTGCCATGCCAAAATCTGATATTTTTGGATTCTTCTTGCTGTCTAATAAAACATTACTTGGTTTAAGATCACGGTGAATAATTTTGAGACAAGAATGTTCATGTAAGTAAAGAAGTCCACGAGCAATTCCACCAATGATGTTGAATCGTTCCAGCCAATTTAATTGTCTTTGATTTTCAGAATCTAGACAAAATCAAGTCAAAATAGAGAAAATCAATGAAAATAAGAAGTCTAATAATATGAAAATTGCATAATGTTTAAATTCTAATAAAGAATAAAAAGAAAAAAGTCGAAAGTAAGTTCAGACTATACCAAATAAAAAGAAATCAATGCTCTTGTTAGGAACATATTCATAAACAAGAATTTTCTCTTGTTCTTCCAAACAAAATCCCAACAAGGTGACTAGATTTCTGTGTTGGAGCTTGGCTATCAGCAAAACTTCATTCTTAAATTCTAATGCTCCTTGTACAGAATTTTTCGAGAGCCTTTTCACAGCTATTTCTTGTCCGCCATGAAGAACTCCCTAAACATGAGGGCAATTAGAAGATATATAAATGTTTTCATCAAAGATGGAATCCCTTCATTCAAAAGGAAATAACACAATAAAATTAATGTACCTTGTATATGTCCAAATCCACCTTTGCCAATTCTATTGTGGGGAGAAAACTTATCAGTTGCAGCTTCAATTGTAGTCAGATTAAATCTCAGGGACTTCAACTTTGAACTTTCTTCGCCAACTAGAACAATAGCATGCCAAAATCTGAATGTTATTTTAAGTTTACAGGTAAAAATCGAAATAAAATAGCTTACAAGTATAGATTACAGTTTTTTGTAAGAATGGCTTGCTGGCTCGTCCTTAGCTTACTCCTCAGCAAATAGCAGCTCAAAAAAAGAGAGTCGCGAAAATGATAGTGGGGGCAACAATCACTATAATAATTCTGGATCCAGCAGTATGTCGTTTTCCTGAGCAAATAACAAGAATAGATAATCATTTATGTGTGATTAATTAAGAGCATAATAAAAACGGATGGCTTTCCTCATACTATTTACCTGAAGGTGCAAGAGGAACAAGCGGAGTTGACCGATGAACGTCTGGTTCATTTGAAACTTTGCTCACATTATAAAAGCGGTGCGTATCATACCTAACGTTCATACGGTGAGTAAAGCTCGTGAGCGTGGGTTCTCTGCAAGACATCCCGGACGCTCCCTTCCATCATCACGGCAAAGCTCGTCAAGCAGTTGTAAGGCCTTTTGAAAACACTTGCCACAATCTGAAACCGTTAAATCAGGCAAGCACTGTGCTAAGCCGTACAGCTTCTGGGTGGCCGTGACCGGAACTTCGTCGGTGGCAAACTTCTTATCAGGCAATTTCGCAGCATTTTCAGTCACATTGCTTAGAAGATCCCAAAGTGTTTGATTGAAATGGCTCTTGTCAGAGATTTCCGTCTTCTCACCAGACCAAGAGAGGCTACGATCATTGACTAAGTCATCGAACTTGAAGGATTCGCTGGTGTAACGAAACATGCAAAGGTCGTAGTAAATTATGAATTGAGTACAGTTAAGGCTAGAGCTTAATGTTTGATTGGCTGCGACTGAGACGCACTGTTGACATGCGGAGGGACCGACGTCCCCACGGCAAAGAACTTGTCCAGTGATAGAATTTGGGGTTCTCCAGCCCACAATCGTACTGTAATAGCCATTGTCGTCTTTGGGGGCATTGGACTTGAGATCGGAGATGAGGGCTTTCAAATTAGCTTCATACGCATCCTTAGATTTGTGATCAGGAAGAGAGTCACAGGAATATTCAAGGGGCTCCAAAGCTGTGACCTGTTCATCAGCGGCAAAGCTAAGAAGCATTGTTAGATCGGAAACATGAGAACAAGTGCAAGGCATTTGATGCTACCCATCCTTCACTACTGCCAATTGATCCGATGATCAGCTCTGTAATTTAAGTTGAGAAATGATGAGATGCAAATAATAATTCAAGTGCTATCAAATAATGATATAAATGTCACGACTCACGACTAGTCAATATTGGGGGCGTGATTGAAGGAAAAAGATGAACGGCAGATTCGCGGCATTTGCACTTTGGTCGGCATTGATTATTCCACGCCTCTTCATTTTAATTACTTCCTTTCCTTTTTTCGACGAAAAATGACCTAATCATGTTACTAATTTCTTAAATAGTATTACTTCTGGTTATAGTATAAGAGTTAGTTTGTAGTGTCTACCTTATGAATTTAAATTGTAATGTGTTCTTACATGTTAGGAGGCATATCTATCAATGTTTTTTTTTTTTTTTATAAAGAAGAATGTTAAATAAGTGAATTAGTTTTCAGTGCAAAATTTGTGAACTTTCTTTTTTTTTTCAAAAAAAAAAGAAGTGTTTAGATTTATTTATTCATTTAATTTACTTATCACACAAGTAATGGGTCTCATGGTCTCATTTCTCAAGCCCACTTTCTATTTCTAGAATCTCAGGCTACTCCCCACGCGGCCACACACCCAAAAGAAAAGGTCTTGGTAAATTTGAAGTAAAATAAATAAACTTAGAAGATTTATTCATTATTTTAGGAGCCAAATAAAAATTCGGAAAAGGTAAAAAACACTGTCCATAATAAAGGATTAATTTTGATCCTAAATATAGAAATCAATCCATTCTATCTTCTAAATTTATAATTATTTTTCTAAACTCATTATATTATACTCTATCAAATGATACGAAGTAGTTTCTTTTTTAACAAAATGGTACATAGTTTTTAATTGCGTGTGGGTTCTCCGTACAACAATACCTCCACTATTTGAATGAAAAGGCTATGATCCGAGATCTCCGGGTGGCAGGTCATCAGACCAAAAAAGTTTTTAATGCAAACTAAATTATAATTTTAAAAATAATTTTATGATATATAAAATAAATAAATTTATCTCAATTTATATAAAATTATTTTTAAAAAAGTGCTTTTGGCATCAATCAAACACCCTTCCAAGTGACACTGCCAGGGACTAAGCTACCAAGGTAAAAGGTTTTGCTTCTGCATATACAGCAACAAGCAAGGATCGTAGTAAATTACTCCTATGAGGTAACAGCTTAATGCTTTTTATTTTTATTCAAAATATACTCTTGTTTAAAAAATGGGTAAGTGAGAGAAAGAATGAATGAGAAAAAAATATGAAAGAGAATATATATATATAAGATAATGAGAGTGCGTAATCAACTAGAGATAAAAATAAAGAATATATTAAATATTCAGACATTTTTAAAATATTGCATTATTGCTTATAAAAAAGATGGACTCGTCCCAAAAAATTGTATTTGGCAACCCTCTATATATTTACTTCGTAAACCATAAAAATACTTTTAAAATTATGGTTTGGTTTCCATTCAAATATTCTTTTAGACTCATGATATAAAAAGTTGGTTAACTTTTCTTACATAAATTTTTCCTATTTTACTTTTGAAAAAAATAATAAAATTGTATTTAATGTTATATTTTTGTATCTCACATCTTTCTCATGTCTTTCTCATAATTAATGGGGGCGAATTGAAAATGAAAAAAATCACATTTATTATTGTAACAACATCTTATATTTTATATCATAATTTTTTTTCTGACCAACGTATTATATTATATTATGCACAAGAGTGAGTATTAGTAAACATGGGTTCATATGATGAGCTTAATTTGGATTTATGATTAATAGAAGAAGATGAAGGGTAGCTTCGTAGAATTTGCGTTTCGGTCAGCATTGGCTGACTCTCCGCATTTCCTTCTCTCCTTTTTTCCAAGAAAATCACTTTTTCTGCCCCTAATTCCATTTTTTTCCACGAAGGCAATTATGATCAAGACATCATGGGGATTTCTTTCTTTCCTTTTTTCCAAGAAAATCACTTTTTCTGCCCCTAATTCCATTTTTTTTCCCCACGGAGATACCTATGTTCAAGACATTATGGGCGGACAACACATCTTCCAGAAAGAATTGAAATCTTAATTTACCATGCAAGTTATGAGAGGCCGGTTCTTTCTGTTATGCTCAACCCTGTTGGTTCCTCTAATTCCAGTTTAATTAAATATGTTTTAGACGACAAAAAAGCAAGACTCTTGAATAAATAAAAATTAGAGTTAATAAAACTTTTGGTCTATTAAGTTTATCCACGTGTTTTGGTTTTGACCCCTCAAGCTTATTTTCTTCTAAAATGTTGATATCTATAATTTAATAAAAAAATTTAGATTATTTTACCTTTTGAGGGAATTAAAATAGATTATTTTAAATTTAAGAAATCAAAATTAAAATAAAAATAAATTCAAGGCACCAAAAATTATGTTAGGCTGTAAAATTTGACCGAGGGACATATCACATGTCACCCAGAAAACGTGTACAGGTGGAAGCCAGGAATATCCTTGGTACTGCGTAGAAGCACAAAAGGAGAATCGCCAGCAGACCAATAATGGAGGGAATCCGCAATTTGATTTTATTGCTTTTTCCTGCATGAATCAGCTTTCACATATATATCTCTGGTAAAAAAAAAAAAAAAAGCTTTCACATACATATCACACATTGGATGACATTAACAGCAACATGCCATTTAGAATGCATGTCATGTTTTCTTACCGACAAGAACTTACCAGTCGAAAGTGACAGTAATTTTTGGGTTATGGCAAGATAAATAATATAATTAAGTACTTTTTTTTTTAATTTTCATTACCTAGCGTTTAAATTAAAAAAATCTCAAAAAAAGAAGTTGAACATTACTAAATTGTATATAAAATTTTTTTATAAAAATATGTTGTTATTTACAAGTTTAGTATTGTCAAAACCTATTAAAGTATTGTTACTAACCCCGATTTGTAATTTAGTAATTTCAAGCTTCTTATTGAGTATACAAGTTTCATAACATTCCATCATTACCACTTCCAAAACTTGTTTCACATGTCATATTTTAATAAAAAAAATTTATTTAACTTTTGTTATGGAAAGTTGCTTTCAGCATCCATTAGTATATAAATAATAAATACTTGTACTGTATATATATGACAATGGAGTAGGTCCAAATGGAAGTGTGGATAAAAAAATCTTCAATTTTCTTTCATGATTAATGTGCTTATATCATGACCCTTGTCTACCGCAGTTTCTAGCTTATTAGTTATTATTTTTCCGGGCATGATCGTCGATTTAAAATAAATTAGTATAACTACTGATCAACTAAATCATAATCAGGTAAAAAAAAAACCTAAATCATAACAGGAATATTTCTGCCCCGGCGTTTGAATTTACTAATAATACTATTTTTGTTTTTGGCTTTTTCATATACCGTCCTTTGAAATGGTCCCAGATGAAGCCAAAATAAATGCCAAAGTCAAACTTCCGTTGCATGAAGAAGGTGCGTGATTTTATTATCTACGTCAAACGTATTAGTGAATTTTTTTCAACAGTTACCTAAATATTCTAAAACTATTCATGAGGAAGCACTCAATATCTGAAATTATTTTTTTAGCTCTAATATAGCTAGGAAGTTTTATTTCATAACATTTATATTATAAACTATCATCTACCGTTAAGTTTGATTGTTAAAGACATGGGTCAAACTATATAATTTAATAGTCAAATTTAACGACGGATAACATTCAAGGTATATTTGTTATGATCATTGATTTGGACATATGAGAGCAAAAAAAAATTTTAAGTGTTGAGTGCTTCTTCATGGATACTTCCGACATACTTAAGCACCTTAAAAACCCTGCAATAAATGACCCATGCTTTTATGTTATGAACCATTCTTATTATGCAATCAGCAAAATCATTGGACATATTTTATGTTAAGAAACATCTTCTCCTGGGACTCGGAACCTCTCCATTTCCTTACTGTCCATTTCCC